AAATTAAATCAGAATGTTTCAATATATTAAAAGTGTCATCTGTGTTGATTTAAATATGTCAAGAACCACTTGCCAATTTTTCTTTTTACAATTTTTTCTTTTCCTTAAGCAGCTTTCATTAAATTTTGCTAATAAAATTTTACAGAAACAATTTTTCCTCTATTAAAATAAATTACACTAAGTGAGAACAAATTAATTATGTGCAACATTTGTAAGATTAAGATATGAACAAATCAGAAAATTATGAAAAACTTTATTCCACAGCAACAATTTATTCACAGAATCAAATAACATATCAACTACATTATAAACTTAGTGTCCATTTATTAACAGGCATGAAGCCATCGATCATCTATGATAGATGTCTAAATATAAAATGTCTATACGAAACAACATAATTTATTATTAATTTATGATATAATGATTTTAAACATTATGTAACATTATCTAATAGTGATGTGGCCATGAAACTATTTAAAGAATTGTGGAGAGCCATAATCATCAACGTCCACATGGCTCATAGAAGACTTGTTTGATGCAAGAAGTTCTTAGTACAGTCTTTTGCATAAAGTTAGAAAAATCACTGGAGTTCTACAATAGGCACTGCAACCAGATATAATCATTTTTTTATTACATGTTGAGTATCCTTTATCTGAAATTCCCAAATCTGAAAACATTCAAAATCCAAAAGTTTTTCAGGTGCTGACATGACTTGCCACAAATGGAAAATTTCAGAAAGCAACATGGCTACTTGTAGCATGATTACAATGTTGCAAATAAAATGCTGACATTTTTCAGTTTTCATTACATTTAAATGTACTCAGAATCCATGTTTTGTTTTTATACAAATATTATACCTGTATGTACTCTAAGATTTTAATCAAAAAGCAACATTATTTGTAGAGACTGATAGCTTACTGAATTTTCTTTCTCACACTAACAGTGATATCATAGATAATGTACTGTCTACCTCCAGTTTCTCATACATGATGTAGAAGTAGTGTTTGGTATTGCATTTATTTATATATACTAGCCGAATTACCCGTGCCTTGCTGCGTGTCACATTTTTTGTAAGAATATCATGATTGATTTTAAATCATTGTTATAATTTATCAAGGAAAAGATGCATTTCAATAATACTCAAAGATCTTGCCGATGTGGCCTCCATCTTCTGGATTTCTCCTTCTATATTTTAGATAGAAATCATTTCCTTGTTCAAATTTAATTTTAATTTAAATCAAAGGGAGAAAGATTTCAGTGGGGTGGGTATGGAAAACAGTTTGATCTGACTCCTTGATCTGATGCAATACCTGATTGAATGAATTGATGAGCAGATTTCAACTTTGATATGTTAGCTGAATTGTCGCTACAAATATTTATTGTAAGGAACTACCCACTGATTGGTGATTTCTTGCTAAACTTGACTTCCATATTTGTAGAGACTGATAGCTTACTGAATTTTCTTTCACATTAACAGTGATATCATCAATGATGTACCCCCTCTCTCCAGTTTCTCACACCTGATGTGGAAGTAGTGTTTGGTATTGCATTTATATATATTTTTGTAAATAGTGATCATGTATTTTTTTTATACACATACAGAAAGTACAAAACATTATTTTTATGTGAAATCTTAATTTCACCACTTAAAAATCCATGTGCGCATTATATGACTAGCATCATTATCAGTATCTGTATGTAAACATAATTTATTAAATTTTATATAAAACTACCTTCAGGGTACATGTATAAGCTGTGTTATGAAATGTAAAGGGATATTGTGTTTTTATGTTTAGGTTACATTTCCAAGCTGCAATATACTATCAATGCTACTAATTAAATAGTCTGTATTTCAAAATCCACCCAAAATCCGAAAACTGAAACACTTTCTGTCTCAAGAATTTCAAATAAAGGATTCTCAACCTATACTATAAATTAAGTACTGCAAATCACAAATATCTATTAAAAAAAAATTAAATTTTATAAAAATGAATGGTGGGAGATCCAGTTTGCAATTTAAATTCATTGTAAATTGACAACCACCCACCCCTGCATAAATAAATATACCCACACAATGTGATTTCTTTAAGAAAAAAAAAAAAAAAAAATCAAAATTTAAATTTTTGAAATTCATAAACTAGACTTTTCATATATTGCCATCAGTTAAGCTAAAGAACTACAGTTTACAAATTAATAAAAAAATCTTTCTTTTTTTTAACATTGAAAGAAATCACATTATGATGATAATTAATCCTTGAAATTGTAAAATATCTAAAATTATGTGGTGAACAACCGATAATTATTGTTGCATTATTGTTGCCCCCAATGAATAAGATCTCATCTAATTTTTTCAATGTTGGTTGAGTTGTGGATTTCAATTATTACAATAGATGGTTATGCGCACACACAAACACACACGTATAAAACATATAAAGAAATATAAGTTACTTCCCTTGAACCAATGTGGCCAAAGCAAAAGACTATTTTCAATTTTCTTTGCTGGTGAAAGTTGAAAGTTAATAGTTGAGAAAGATTATTAGGTTGAGTCAGAAATAATTTCTGTTTTTGTTTATCAACTATTCTTCGAAATACAATTGGTTCCCAAAAATGAAAATTACTTATAACTCAACCTAATACATTAACTGAACTCTACCTGATTATAACAAGTTAATTATCTCAACTACAAGTATTCAGTCTCAAAAAGTAAAAAATTTTTTAAAAGTTATCACATTTAAAGCATTTTTATCACCTTTACATTTTATACAGTATTTTTTAAGCAATTAATGGAATTTTTAATCTGACATTCTAATAAAATTTATATTTAGTGAGTACACATTTTGATGTGTTTTATCAAACAGTGAAATTAACATTTACCAGTCTAGAGATAGAAAATCTTATTATTGAAAATGTGCCTCTCTCCAAGGTTAAAGGGAATATGGATTTGATTTTTGTCGAGGCACACATTTTCTTGAATAAGAATTTCACTTTCTAGAATACAAGATGTTTTCACTATTTAAAAACAGTAACCGACTTAAAAACATGAATCTACTAAAGGAGGCACAGTGGAGTAGTGGATTGCAGCTCAGATTGAGAAATCCGAGAGCAGAGTTTGAATTCCAGTAGAATTCATTACATTCACTTATGTGCTAATACACTTGGGAAAGATATGAATCAATCTCTTCTAAGCAATGGGTAAATAGCAGGAAATACTGGGTCCAATAGCTTTGGTTAGTAACTACTCTATGAGAAGGGAAAACTCTAAATTCAAAACCAGCCTTGAGGGGACTGGATTATTTTATCTAGGAAACACCACCGCTATTGTGGCTGATGTACATGTGGCACCCCTAAGGAGTTACAGGTTAAAAAAAAAAAAAAAATCTAATAAATATGACTTTTATAGTAATGTTATACAGTGAAAAGTTTCTTATTTTATAACAACTGAAATGTGTAATAGATTTACATACAAATTATTATACACTGAATCAGAACTGCTGTATTCATTTTGAATGTTTCAGCCATTTGGCTGTTAGAGTCACAATGTTTCAACCATTGTGCTGGTTTTCTTCAAAAGCATATCATCTTTGTTAAGCTGTCAATTTTGAACTGAACCTTTTATTCAAACCATTGTTCTCACTCCATTGTACATGCTAAAGGATCTCTTGTATAATTTAATTTTCTCAATTTGTCTTTGGGAAAACTATATGGGTTCCTTTGATAAAAAAAAAAAAAAAAAAAAAAAAAAACAGAGGTTTAAGATTCTAAAATTCTACTACCTGATTAACCATATTAATATAAGTTTGTCATTACCAGGTGTTTGCAAGTTCAGGTTAATCAATGAAATTCTTCAAACTTCAGTGGAAATAGCAAAAAACAGTACCACTTAGAATTAATTTATCCAAAATATTCTCTCACAAAAACAGCAAAATGGATTGAACAAAAATTTCATCCAAAATTTCAGAAAGGTTATTAAATATGACAGGCACATAAAAAATGCTGGATAGTTACAATGATTAAAATATCTTGACCATAACTTACATGTGTACATGTGTACACCAGTTTTAATAAATCAGTATAGTATAGTATGATAATCATAATAATAAATTTTTTGGTGAAGACAAATTGTCAAATTACTGACTGTTCTATATGATACAAGAGTGAACTCCAAAGAAACAGAAAGAAAACTACCAGGATCTGGTTTGGGAGTTGAAAAAGTTATGGAACAATGTTGAAGTAATTCCTGTATTAATGGGTATGCTTGGAACACCACATAGAAACTTGAAAGAGTGCCTAAGGAAGAATTTGAAGTGAGACCAAGATTGCAGATCTCCAGAAAACTACCATCATTTACTGAAATGAGTTGAGAGGCGTCACTTTGATACCATGTCTCAAGTTATGTCAATTTGTGACATCAGCATAATAATTCTTTATCTCAGAATTCAGACAGAACTTATGTGGACATACTTAAATGAACAAGAATCAAGATTCAATGAAAATCTTTCAGTGTAAAAATGTTTCAAAATCTTTAGCACAGAAATATATAGCTAAAGACTTAATAAAAAATGCATACAAAAAAGATACTGTATTTGATGACATAAAAAAAACCTGCTATTTTCCTGGCTCAAAAAAAGCATCCAAAGCCTTATATAGAAAGTTGAAATAGCTGGAAAGTAAAAGTTTATCCAGACACAATAGACTTATGTTATTTGTACTTCATTCTACAATATTGGAATACTAATGTTAAGAGTGAAAGAGTTTGATGTAACTACTCTGTAGTTACATCAAACTAGAGTAGTTAATGATTTAATACCAAAATGCACTTCAAATTTATTATTAAATAACCATTTATAACTAAACTCCTCCCCCCAATTTTAACACTGACTTATTCTACACTAAAAATGATTTTTCTACAGTCAACAGTTTCAGTTTTAAATATTTTCAGTAATTATCACAAAAGTCAGAATAAAACAAATGACTGCTTTTGTTTATTCTTGAGAACTTACCTTTATCTTTGATATCATCTGGCCATCCCTCTGTTTTAGTAATATGTTCCAAGGATTTCTTCAATCGAGTATCCAGTGTTGAAAGATCTTCATTTTCTATGTCCAGCTTAATCTCCTGGTCTGTATTTATATCCAGAAGTTTTTTTGCCAGAGAATGAGCAGAGTCATTAAGGTAACGGAATTGTCCATTCCCAATTCGTTTGTAATCAGCACTTCCATCTTTCTCTGACTTACAAAATACTTCCAGCTCAACATTTTCTTCTAAAGCATGATCTAAATAAAGAAAGAAATATTACATCAATCAATATATAAAACACAATAATATATGAACCATACAATTTGCAAACTTCTACATATTACTATCTTTATATAGACTAACATAAAATTAAATGTTTATTTATCTTAACCTTACACAGGGTGTTGCAGAGATCACATCAACTCATATATATTCTTAATGTGCTATGTCCCTTCAGGATGTAGCCGATCATGGCCCTTGACATCATCCTGTACCTTGTAGTTCTTAATAAATGTTGACTTTTTGTTATTCCTAGCAAACCCTGTTCTACCATCCATTTACTCAAGCCCATGAAGTAGTATGTATGCACTGTTTTCCTGTCCCTCAGTTTGTTCTGTGAGTATCAGATTTCCAAAGCCCTTATTACTTTAAGCATTATTATATTGGATACATTTTATTTTAAAGTAATAAATCCATTAATATATATATATATATATATGACATCATATATTATGAAATGGATTGAGTCCAACAATTATTTTAAGGTCTTCTGTTTATACGTTATTTTTATAGATACACATATTTAAGCAAATGCTATGTTTATAATGATCAATATATATATATATATATATATATATATATATATATATATATATATATATATATATTATATTTCATAATATATGATGTCATTTGTTTACATTAGGATACAATTTCAGCAGATATGAGTGTTTAAGAGAAATCATGAGAAATCTGTTTAAAAGCAGTAATTTGACTTTGCTATATATATATATATATATATATGTGTGTGTGTGTGTGTGTGTGTGAAAAGTGTATATAAATATAAATAAATATAAGTATGTATAATTATTTATATATTATATCTGGTACTTATTAGAAAGCGCCCAATATCAGAGATAGAGCTAACATATTTGGTTGGATAGATGTGAGTTTGTGACCCTGGGTTTCACGCTTTAGCGATCGTCAGACAAATATATATATATATATATATATATATATATATATATATATATATATATATATATAGTGTTTCTATAAGATTCAACTAACAATTGTATTATCAATTTACATTGAAAAATGAAGAGTAAAAAATACTCTTCATTTTTCAGTGTAAATTGATAATACAGTTGTTAGTTGAATCTTATAGAACATACTATCTATTATATATATATATATATATATATATATATATATAGTATAATTATAAATATATATATATATATATATATATATATTCATTAAAAAAAATTCCTTCTATTTTTTTTTTTAACGAAAAATAAATTATTATTTCTTTCTTTTTAAAAATCCATCTCTTCAGGACAAAGGCAATCAGGGCATCTCTTCAGACTTTTTTCTTACATCTGTGAATTGCCCTGACTTCTTGAGAAAGAGAATAGATTTATTTCCTATTGCCTTCTCCAGTTTTTAATTCTGAATTAACTGGCTGCCATCAAAATCTAGACAACAGTCTAACATACAACTTGACCTATAGCTAGAGGGAGATGAAATGGTTTCATGCCTTTCCTTATTAGTGCAAAATTGAATGGAACAGACAAAGCCGGAATTTGAACTCCGATTGCCGATTCCAATTACTGAGCTGATAGTTTCTCTAACTACACATACATAAATATTTTGATTATTTAATGAATGTGATCCCTTAAAAAAATTCTCCAAGTGAAAGAATAAGCAAATATGATTATTACCTCCCTTTAACTTGATGCCGCCATCTTAAAAACTAGACGGTAACTCAACGGATCGTTAACAGAAAACAGTTTCTTATATTTTAAAAGAATTTTTCATTAATAAAATCCAAGACATTTCTTATTGGTCAAAATTTTAACTTATTAACATTAATAGTGAAAGAAAAACCATGTAATTTTCATAATACCAAGCATTCAGCATAAAAAATTAATTTTTTTTTTTTTTTTAATTTTTTACCATTTGGAATTTGGATTTTTGCTTGCCAAAGAATCAAAGATAAGATAGATTTTATTTTTAAAAATATTTTTTATGACTACTTTTACATTTATACAATTAAAAAAGACATCATGCTTAGAGAAATTTAAAAAATTAAATAACAGCAAATGAGATAATATTTGAGAGTTAATCCACTCAAAAAAAACAAATAAAATACTGATTTCCCCTCGCCCAAGAAGAGTATTAAAAAAAATATTTTTTTTATTTTAATGAATACTGAAAAGGAGAGGAGAGAGAAAGAAAGCCATCAATCTATGTGTAAAAGTATTAAGTTACTTAACCCACACTAAAAGCTTCCGAGGAATCAAATCCATAGCATTAATTTCAATCAAATGAAAATTCTAAAAAGGAAAAAAAATCAATTAAAAAAATAAAAAAGTTTTTTGTAAAGATGTAACAGAAAAGTTGATGAAACATCTGGTTACAAGTTGTCTTTTCTTTTTTTCTTTAAATGTCATCTTGAACTATGAATGTCAACAACAGGAATTACTAATTTTATAAAAACAGTGATTTGTTTTTAAAACTAATAATATTTCACTGTCATTCTCTAAAATGATGTTGCAAAATACTTGAATATTCAAAAGCAAAAAGTTTTAATGAGTATTAAGCTAGTTCCTTCAAAAGGCATATGGGACCTTTGATGCCAAAAAGTGACCATAAATTTGAATTCTGTATTTTGTTGCACAGGCTACTGCTGATTTGTTGGCGGCCTTGTTTTGACAGTCAAATGAAGGTGTTTATTATTGCTAAGAAGCCTCTTTTGAGAGGAAAGGAAAGGAAAGGCGATGTTTTACTTTTTTCCGACAGCAAACGATTCTTCACATGCCCAAAAACTAAGAATAAAACATTGAGGAAATTTGAATGCAGTTTAATAACAGCAGCGGTAACAATTAAGTGAAACAGAAAAGAAAAGGTGTTCTTAGAAGGGTTAAAAAAACTAAAAGATAGTTTGTAAAAAAGTCTACTCTTCTAGAGAAATAAAGTTTGTATGTCTGTATGGATGTATATGTGTGAAGTGAAGATATGCATATGAATAAGTAACTCATTTTAGGAAATTTATTTTTATGCGGTCAACTTGGGGGTTTGGGTAAATTAAATATTTTTTCTCGCTTGGGTCGATGTCTGTATGGTGTGAGTGCCTAAATGAGATAGCTTTCTTTGGCATGATGTGAGTAAATGAATGTGCCGTATGTGCTCCAGTGTATACTTAACTGTGAGCATGTGAGTACTGTGTGCGTGTACTGTGAATCCTTCTTCCTAGGCTGGAGGTAGGTTCCAAATGAAACCGAATTTTTTTTTTTTTGTTCTGCTCCTATTGGCTGAGAAAGTCATGCTTTACGTCCACATTAGGTGACACCGAGTCTGTTTTTTATGTCTTTTAGACTTGATGAAATTGTAGAGGGAATTTGAAAATGTATTTATTTTTATTTTATTTTTGGGTATTTTCAAAGCCCCAATAATTTTTTGAATCATGCCTTATTCAAAAGTTATAACTATGATTAGTTCTTGAATCACATTGTGGGTGGGTGGGGGTCTGCACATTTTACACACTAAGTAATTTTTTGTTTTAATTTAATTTTTTATTTGAAATATTAATTCTTTTCACCCCTTGGAATCATGTTATATTCAAGAGAGAAATTCTAAAACATTTTTTTTTGGTCCCTTTCATTTACTTGACATAGAAATTTGTTTCTTAGATGAACCATAAATTTACCATTTCTTACAGTTGTAATAAGGTTGTATAAAAGTAAATTATGTTTTTGTGAGGATTTATAGTAAATGTCAATGTAAGGCTTGTGTTTTTACAGCACACTGCCTTTACTACCAATGTAAATACAGCAATATAAGTATTTTTTTTTGTATTTGTTCTTTTATCCGATCGTGACCAGAAAAAGAATAAGAGAAAAATTAATGAAAAAAAAAGTTTATAAGTTAGATTTTTCTGGCTAGAAATTTTTCAGCTAGATGTGTACTTTATACAGTCAAGATAGATATGATTTTTATTTTAACTAACCTGATGGGCACAAAGTAAGGGCCTAGTTTAACATTATACTCACATTGTAAACTGAAATCCTTAGCAAAACTTATAAACTTTTGAAATTTTCAATAACTAATGATAAAATATACTCCAGGATAACATTAATAACTACAAAAAAAATCTGTTAGTCATATCTCTGGACATACTCTTTAGTTAGACTAAAAAGAATTTAAAAAAAAAAAAAAAAAAAAAAAAATGAGGAAGATATTTATGGAATTATACTAAATAGTCAAATAATTTGAATAATGTCATAATAGTTTGAAACCAGTCTTACAGACAACTTTTTAGTAGTGTAAATAAGTGTGATCATACCATTGCAGCCTTGTGCCAGACCAAACTAAGATTAGAATTCTTTAGGTTCGGAGGCTATTCTGAGCACCCTCCCTTCCGCCTCATGTGCCTGTAGCCTCTTGTAGTGTTTTGCCAAAGTTGTTAACACCTTGCAGTGACAGCCTGTTTTATACTTAAATGCAATCATCAGGCCATGATTGCATTTAAACATGAATCAGCCCATCACCACTGAGTGCTGACCTCAGTGCCCATTTTTATATATACATACACTATCCCTGATATTGAGCACTTTAGCCCATAAATTGTATCTTAAAACTATATATATATATACACACACACACACACATATTAACAAGTCAATCCATGATAATAATCAACATTACAGGCCCTTTATTAATAGCAGCAAAATTATTACAATTTAAAGGCATATTTATCAGAATGAGCAAAGTATAAAGACAAAAAATAAAATAAAAAATAAGCAAGCACAGATTCTTATATTTAACCTTTTTTTATAATGTTTAAATAGAAAACTGCTTCCTTTCACTACTTGACAAATTGAAAAGTATTATTCAACTCTGTCATGTGATAGTCACAATGAAAACATTATATAATGACTTGACATTCTCAAGGTTTTCTATGGTAGTAGTCTTGATAAAGACTAGAAGTATCTTCACAGCCTTGTGGGTGATTAAATATTTTCCACTCTACTTC